ATTCTGCCCAAAGCCTTGAGGGGAAACATGAATGGCATATTAAAATGCTAATATATCTTGCAGACCGCTCTCAGCTGTTGATAATGTGAACCAAGTATATTGACTTCGGTAATGAGGTGTAAATAGCTAATGGGCAGACTCATTCTTTTACTTTTTATCTGCTCTGCCTTATCAAGATGCCTCTTCAAGCAAAGCACACTCAATTAGACCGGGTTCTGTTCTTTTTTACTTTGCTTATGAATAACACAAGAATGAACAGTTCTCAATTTCTACTTTTTAGAGCCAAGCTGTAATTCATGATGAGTGTGCACAATCCTCTTATTGTTGGGATTGTCAAGAATGCTATAATAATCAATATTGATACTATCTCACTGGAATTCATATTTTTTACATATAATACCACAAAATCCTATATCTTTACAGACAGTAAGTATCAAGCCTTTCCTATAACACTGCATTACCCCAGCTCTAGAACAGTGCTTTTCTGTGTAAGGGGTAAACATTGGACTACACTATAGCTTGATTAACTCTAAAAATAACAATGTGGAACAAAATAATTCTTATTTCAACAAACAAATTGAGAAACATTTGATTAAGATATACTTTATTTGTCGCACACTAAGGAAAGTTCATTTTACAAAACGTTGATATAAGGAGCATAATAACACAATTTATGTCAACATTAAGTAGCACAACAAGACTTAAAAATATATACATATTTAATATACATGTAATTAATGAAAACATTGTATACTCTAGTGCAAGAAATATATACTTTTATGTTTACCTCTGTAGATAAATCTGTAATACTGTCTAGTGCAATAATATTGACTAATATTGAACAAAACACCAGCAGCACTAACTTCAAGGTTCAATTTTATTTGTACCAACGTCCCTCCACAATCACATTCCAAACTGGTCTAAAATAAAGTCTTGCTTTTGCTTATTGAAAAGGAAATCATAGTCTTTCTTAATGTATTTCTAAAATGACCACACCGGTCATAGATGGACGTTGGAGTGAGTCGATTACTGCTGTAGATGCAGTCGTTACACATTGTGCTTTGGGCGCTCACTTGCAGATGCACTCTCAGCTCAAACACTCCTGGTCACGCTTGGACAGGCCTGCGGAAGAACGATAAGTTGTTGTGGCATTTGGAAAGCTCAAATGTCTAGGAAGTGATCATGAGCCCAAATAGGATCATTGTTGAATGCCAGGCCAGGTTTGAAGTAATTGATGTTAATACGTTTAGATGGGACGTCACATTTACCTGTTCAACACCAATTAATCATTGCATCTTTGCCAATTCACTTTGCAGAATGGCATTGTGCACAACACGGAAAGATGGCATTGCAGGACTTTTTGATTTGTTGATGGCCAAAATCTGCGTTTGATTTAAACAGTTGGAAGGATGAAACAGTTGAAAAGTGAACAGAACATTGGTGCCCTCTTCTTGCCCCCTTGCATTCAAATGACAACTTCACAATGAACCAGTCGAGTCTTTCCAGTATCTTCACAACAATATCTCTTCTTTTGGTGCAGGAGGGCTTTGTGGTGATGAATTCATCACCAGAGTGTCACACGCTTTCAGCGCGAGTGGGGCCACAGTGTCCGCCATTCTCACAAAGACACAGACATCCAGTGAAGTACATAGCAGGGCTTCAAAAGCACACCAGCTTTGATCTCTACCCAAATAATGCCAAAAAAGATTTTTGGGTGGAATAAAATCAGTGCCTCAGATGTGTACTGGCCACTTTGTTCTATAGGCCCATATTTTGGTTAGTCGTGGGGGCTTTTATCTAACCATCTATCATCAGATGAAAGTAAGTGGCCAGGCACTCAGAAAGCTTTTCAGATATTTTGTGGAGGCAAGTTTGTTTTAGCCAAATCAAAGTAGTTTGTGCATCAGATGTAACCATATTTGAACAACTGACTTTGAATGGATTGTTTTTTAGCACAATTCCAAATATCGAGCACTAGAGGCAACAGCAGGTAAATCTGCTTTAATCAGTGCTCTTTGATGAGCTACAGCAGCTTTAGATAAAAGCTCATGACAACAGGGAAGTCAATTAGGCCTGCTATGCCATTAATCACCTTCAAGTGACAGTTTAGAGATAACCAGACAAGCAGACGTTTCTTTGAAGCTCACTGAGGTAGCAATTTGTAAAATATGACAAGCTATAAAAATAAACCCTCTAATTTAACTGGAGTTCTACTCCCACCATAACGCCTTCACAAAATCTGAATCCCACATGCACACTGCACCTGCCGTCCTTTCATATCAGAGCTCATGATAATCTAATTTAGGGGGATTGTGATTTTGTAAAGTATAAATAATTATGGACAGCAACATTTGTCATCCATCTAAGAAACAAGATACTCCATCTATGTGGGGCAGAGGAGGGCGGGCAGCGGTTTTACTTTGTGGAGTTGGGGACAAACACGTTCAAAACTCCCTAGTCCGTAGATCTGCATCTGCTTCTCTCTATCAAAATACGTTAATTTTACAGTGCTCCAACTGATGTCTGCTGTCGTTGTGTCCTTGGGCAAGACACTTAACCCCACTTTGCCTGAAGCTCCCACTGAAAGATCTCAGCTCCTGTGGACTCACCACCGGCAGGAGGACCAGTGAGGGGCTGGTGCTCTGGGTGCTGGGTGCAGCTCTGACTGACACCCCCCCAACCCAGAAATGGATTAAGGGGAAGAAAATGGATGGATAGATAATTTTACAGTGCCTCCGTTTTTACCATTTTTCCCATGTCGCCAGCAAGTTTTTTTTTTGGTTGAAATGTGGATCTGCATGCTACAATTAACCTTTATCTAACCAGGAAGTCAGTTGGGATAAACTGTATTTTTTGAGGAAGACCTAGCAAAAAGCACCATGGCGATTTAATACTTGAGTTAATCTCCTACTTTGGCTGATAAATATTCTTTAGATTCACTTTTCACAGCCTCTTAATCTATCATGTATAGCTTATCTAACAAGTGCATTCTTAAAGCTAATGTTTAAAAAAAACTACTCAAATCTGTTTTTACCAATGAACTATTCATGTATAAAGATTTGTTTTCCGTTCATCTATTTGTGCATGCACAGAAAACATGTGGCCAATAATGATGGCATTAGGGTCCCGTTGTGGAGCAACAAGTGCCAAGGACTCTAGGAACATGTCCTCATGACCTTGGTTGATCCGGCACAGAGTTCAGTGCAGTATGATTCGTGTTTGTAGACTGACTGGTGTTCGAGCTTCTGTTGAGCCTCTGTTGAGTCTGATGTCTTTGTACTTGTCTCTTCCTTGTTTGGTCTGTCTATTCTATGTCTATGGCCTGTTTGTGTTCTATTTGTGTGCTTGTGAGTCTTGGGCTCTGGTTGGCCAGTCATTTCCCGCTGGGAGCTGATTGGTTGCTATGCCTGGGTGCTGATTGGGGAGAAGGCGAGACAGTCCTCCTACCAAGCACGTTCACTTGGAGGCCCGCCATGGATCTATTATAATAACTGGATAGGGAATTACTAGCTTGGAGCTGAAGAACCCATGTGCTGGCGGGATTCTCGCGGTACTGCAGACTGAACTGGACTAAATTCATGTGGGCTACCCAGATATTTTCCCCATAGAACTCAACCAGACGATTCCCAAATATAGCGAGTGATGGGCGAGTTCTGCAAATATGTCCGCGCCCGTGCCGGCACATGCGTCACTGAGCACAATCCATTCATTTGAATACGGCGCCATCTTGGCTCTATAATAATATCTGGATAGGGTTTCTAGCTTATATAATCGTCCCACCAATGGGCACAGGGGGAGCCCATGTTTTTTTTTTTTTTCTTGTTAAATCCTTCGGTAATAAAATCTATACTTTAATGCAACAAACTCCGCTCATTTTGGCTACCGTTCTAGCTCAAAAAGCAGTGAAACCTCTCTGTGCGCATGCTTGAGAGCCACACATGCGTATTTAGCGCAAAGCATCATGGGAGCTCGTCCACTGTGCAGAACCAAGAGGACCACGTGATGCCCAAATATGGACGTGTTCCACTAATCTTTCAGCGCTCCTTAAAGTCCCATGCACTACTGAGCACAAGCCGTTGATTTGAATACAGTAGGGAGCCATCTTGGATCACCAGGACTTGAGCTGGGTCACTGGATTCTAGTTTGCCATTAGTTTGTGTCTTTTGCCGGCCATTTTTTTATTGACTCGTTTTATCTTGTGTATTAGTTTGGACTAAGTTACTTAATGATCTTACTTTGTTTTTATTTTAGTGTTGTCCATTCAACCTATTTTTTTCATTTAAATATATTATGATTTTAGTTTTAATTTTGAAATCTTGGTTTTATTGTTCAGACCTTTACACTTGAGCTGAGCTGACTCGTAACAAGCCTAAACATATGAGTAGGTTTCTGCATGGGCAGTTCCATGTTTACACCACAAATTCACAGCCAGGGTCAAAAGTTCAAAATTGCACCAAATTGTGAACCTGTGCGCCGTCAGTCGTGATGGACAGCTTGTAATGGAGAAACAACATAATAATAAAAACTCCTACTGTCAGTCATAGCCCAGGTTTCATAGTATCGGCTCAGACAGCTTTCTGACAGAAAGGAGAGGCAGAAAGCGTTGTTCTTCAAGTAAACATGTCAATCATACCGAGGGAGTGAATGTATTACCGTGGTGTACTCAGAGCTCATTCAGCTTTAGAAAAGTTCCTTGGACAGTGTGTGAGCAGAAAAGAAAGAGTCTTGTCTGTTTCTTTGGGCCTTGTTCGCAACATCTATCGTCATCTAACAGCCTCACCACCAGAAACAGCTGGGCCACTTACAGGGCATGATAAAAGAATTCTCAAAGTGCTCGAGGTCAGGAGGCAAACGATTTCTGCGTATATACAGTGGAAACAGAAGATATATCGACTGTGTGAACTTCTTACATTTAATAGATTACCTGTTGCAAATAAAAAAGAATCAATGTTGAAAGTGTTTGCCCACATAACATTTAACTGTTTTCTTGTATGTTTCAGATTTGGAACACTTCAAGACCCAAAGAAGAAGCTCTGTGTCCGTGCGGGAAGGCCAGGGAGTGGTGCTGCTGTGTGGGCCGCCTCCTCATTCTGGAGGTTAGATTTACCGTAACACATAAGTCTATTCAAGATCCTTTCCATGCTGTTTTTCTTAAGCTTTAATCTACTTCATGTGTTTAGTTTGTGATCTCAAAACCTCAAAGGAAGTGTGTGTTTTTAATTATCATTGATTCATTTGAAGAATTATGTTCCTCCCATATTTTTCATCTATTTGGGCGACAATTCATTTGCAGTTAATTATTCAAGCTTGGACTTTATCACAGCCGTCTATCAATCACTGTCCAGAACCATCTTTAACTGTCATCACCAGCCCATGATTGATGAAACATAAGAAATTAACTAATATTTCTCTTAAAACCACAAACAGATTAATCTACCCTAACTGTATAGGCTACCAAAAATATAGATATATTCATCTTGATCGCTCCACACCGGGTCATACATATTTTAACAACACGGTTAGTTTGCAAACTCAAATTTTGGCTGGAATTTCCTCAGCACTTTAGAAACTGAGTTGGTCAAATCTCTAATTTAATTCAAATGCATTGGATACATTGCGTAAGACGTATATGCCATATAGGTTTGTTGGTAGAGCATTGGAATTTGAGCCTGAAGGTTATGGGTTCGAGCCCACCATTAGACCTTCTACACCGACCCCACTTTGCCTGATGCCCCGGCTGAAAGATCAAGGTTCTAAATTACACCGATTTATTGGTTATCACTGTTTCGGATTTTCTATTACAAAAGGTTGTATAGTAAGAGGTCTGTATTCATTTGTGAGTACTTTTTGGAGCAGGCATACTGTAAAACATCCTCTCAGGCAGCCTCAAATAAGTTGTTTATTTAGCATTTAAGGCACTTGCTTACACCAGCGACACGGGTTGTTGATGCAGTACACATTTTCAAAACATTTTTTATCCGGGATTATTATGCTGTTAATCTGATTAGCAGATGACACATTTCTCCATCTCTACGCTCCGTAATCTCGGCGTGCTGTGCCTGCATTCTGCTTCCTCTGCCGCTGTTTGTGAGTCCGGGACCAAAGCTTTGTGAACTGATCCCCGTCAGTGTCACCGCTTTCTGACATCACGTTTGAGGAGAAGCGGCACTGACACTGAGCCCACGACGCAACATCAGAATGAAACCAGACACACTCATCGGATCTGAGAAGGTCACAACGAAACCGAGGTGTACAAGGGTGTCTGGTGCAAAAGGTTTAGTGAGTTGACTTGTACAGCTTATTCAAGAGTTGCATTTCAAGTGAATGCTAGTTATTAAACATGTGAAGTCAGCGTTTCAATTCAATTTATTTTTGTATAGCCCTAAATCACATCAGTAGTTATCTCAGAGGACTTAACAAAACCTTTGAATTCGCCAACACAGATCAAAGAATCAAACATCACTGGTTAGATCCTAGCCTGGCATTAGCCATCTGTACACGCCGCTCAATTATCATTTCACTGCATGTAACGTCTGGGTCTGGTCCCTGTGTTAGCGATTACAATCAGTTGAATTCCATCCGACCAATCAGCGAGCGCGGGAGGCAGGGGTTGCAGTTAGTCGTGGGTGACGTCAGGAGTGTGCGTCGAACGGGCAGGTTGTAGTTTGGCAATGCCGAAAAATGCAATAGTAAAGTAAACCGGTCTGGTTCTATCAAGAAATTGAAGCCGGAGCAAGAGGAATTTTTTGAAAATGTAATCGCTGGCAAAGATTGTGGAGCTACTCCCCACGGGCTTTGTTAGCGGCAAAGGAGATGGCTAGGCTGAATGCTAACGACTCACTCGGGCGCATTACATATGTGACGGTAAACTCTCCCACCTGTTTACTGGAGGTGCTCAATGGAGCGCCTCCAGACCTTAGTATGAAATGTAATTTGTACTATGGTGTGGTACGACCAGGCTATTTAGAGCCATGTTCAACCCGCAGCTTCATGATTCGTCGAAATGAATTCAAATCCATGAGTCCCGTTGTGGGACTCATGGATGATTAGGGGGCGACAGTTGCTCAGTTGGTAGAGCAGTGGCCTTTGAGCCTGGAGGTTGTGAGTTCAATTCCCACCATGGGACCTACTCCGACTGCTCCCACTGATTTCTACTGTTGTTGTGTCCTTGGGCAAGACACTTAACCCCATGTTGCCTGAAGCCCCCGCTGAAAGACCAAGGCTGTTTCACCACTGACGGAGCAGCCATCTTCCTGTGGACCCACCCCCTGCAGAAGATCAGCGAGGGACTGGTGCTATGAGCATTGGGTGGCAGCTCTGATTGCCACCCCCCCGACCCAGAAATGGACAATAAAGGGCTTGAAAAAAATGAATGAATGAGTCCCGTTGTCATCGGTTTGACTATTCTCCTTCAGAAAGTGTTATTGGTCAAAGTTATGCCGGGGGAGGGATTAGTTTAAACATATTACTGTTGAAAAATACTTACAGTAATCACAGTACAGTGCTATAAGGCCAGAAAAATAATTTAGATTTTCTGAAGTCAACTTTTAAATATGTGAAACTAAGAACAGGTCAGTGGCATATCTAAAATTGGTCAAAAGTAAAAACCGGATACCTATATTTTTTTTCGGTAAGTTTCAGTTTCAGTTTATTTATCTATTTCAGACTTTTCAAACTGTTGGGACGACTTCAGGAACTTAGTTTTACAAGAATCAAAAGTACATAAGGTCAGAAAAAAGGAATAGGCAGAAGCTAAATACTCTTACACACAAACAAATAAAACAAATAATACATGTTGGGTACGTACAAAAGAGCAAAGTGAAAGCTTGCATGAAACTCGCATGAAAGAATCGATATATAACTCTTGGCTGAGAGCTGAGGGTAGTGATCATCCATGTGAAAACTAGTGATGAACCAAATGTGGGAACGAGATGGATCTAAATTGGTAGTTCCAACATTTGCATTTTGATAATCAGAAAATAAGGTAGGTAACCCAGCTTTAAATGATCTACACAAGATGAGAAGAAGAGGGAAAAGGAGAATTTCTGTTTTTTTTATTTTTGATTTAGAGAATGCACTAACCAATTATCTGTATATGTTACTTTTACTTTTGCGAAATCTGGCTTTTTCAAACATTAGGAGACTTTATTCCATTCCGTTTCCATTTCACGAGTCAGAACCGCAGAATACCTCCTCATCTTTTTCACCCACGCTTCATTAGAGGCTTGTGTTTTTTCCTCCCTTTTTTTTCCACTCTCCCGTTTCTAACACCAGAGCTTCCTGCTGCGCTGTTGTCACAGGTAATGTCCTCCAGCTTTGTCGCCACAAACACAACTCCAGCACTCCTTTGAGATCTCCTCCCACAAGAACAGCCTCGTCACCTGCCACGCACTGGGGGAAATAACAAGTCACAAACACCACTGCTTTGTGAACAATTACACATCTGTTAAAGGCAAGGCTGACAAATGTTTCCTTCAGTTTCTTCTTTGGACTACATCCACGTGCAGTGTCGGTTTTGTTGGCATCCAAACCAATTTTTTTTTTTTTTTCACCATTTAACCAGAAAAGTGCCATTGAGATTAAGAACCTCTTTTTCAATGGAATCCTGGACATGAGGCAGCAAAAAATACACACATACAGTTACACACAATCACAGATTATAAAAAAGTTACACGCTATTTCATAAAATTACAGATTATAAAAACAGTTACGAGCTTGTAACAATACGCTTCCCTCTTGGACACATACACAAACGTACACGCACACACACACACACACACACACACACACACACACACACCAACATACACACAATTTCAATGGGGATTGCTCAAGTACTCTCAATCTTGAATTAAAAGTATTCAATGAAATAAGTTCAATTAATTTTCCAGTTTTTTTGCAGCACAATCACAAAAGGAGCAGCATATACAAAAGCCTTTTTTTCCCCAGTTCTGTGCGGTACAGTAAAAGTAAAAGTAATCTGATGTTTAAATTGTAGCTTCATCATTGGTGTATTACTGTAATTTAATATGGCTGCACAAATGCATCCAGCAGAATACAGTATACCTGCTTGCATAAATATTTTGTCGAGAATGCGGTTACTCACACATTTCACAATAGTCTACTCACACTAGAATTAGGTTTGATTGTTCTTTAATCCAGCTCGACCCGTGGTGGCGGCAGTGTCCCATGTGAGCTGGACCTTTGAGGCGATCTGTTGTTCTGAGCGTCCCAGTGAGTGCTGCCGTATGTGGTGAAAGAATGATGCAAGGCTTTGATTCGCTCCAGAGCCACATGCGCCACATCAACACAACACACATATTAAACACTGAAGGTTTTGTTGTTTGGACTGGTTGCTGTAATTTAATTCACGTAATTTTGTTTAAACTCAAACAGGTGTCTGAACATATAAGTAGGGATGTCATACATTTGCTTTTAAAATGATGCATAATGAGTAAGTTTAGTTGTATAGCACATTAGAATCATAAATTATCAAGGCAAGGCAAGTGTATTTTATAGCACAATTCATTCAAAAGGCAACAAAAAGTGCTGAACAAAACAAGATAAAAACAATCACACAAGGCATTAAGATTAATAAATAAATAAACATTATCAGAGAAGATGCCTGTCTTACATTTTCAGAAAGATTATTCCATATTTTAGATGCATGGATTTGATCACTATCACAGTACTTTAAAAAGAGAGAAGACTCTCCTTCAGTTATATGCGTAGCTACACAGAAAAGCCTTTAAGCTGGATTTGAAAATGGTCAGACTAGAAGCCAGACTCACATTTTCAGGAGGACTGTTCCAGATTATAGCTGCATGAATCTGAAAAGCCGGATCTCTAGCCTCATCCATTTTAAATCAATTGAGCAAGACACATGTAAACTTGTGTCCTGTGGTTGAGATGTGACATTCCAATTCGTTCGAATCCATTTCTGCTCAAATCACACAGGCGTGTAACCAGGTAGACCGGATCCTATTGAGACACAATAGAGACCTTCATTAACATGAGTTTCAGGGTTTGGGTAAGGGTCATAGACGGAAGGAGTTCAGAAGCTCAAAAATGAAGTTTCTTGTTTCTTGTTTTGTTAGGGCT